TGCCTAGGCTAGCCCAATATCTCTACCTAGGCTAGGCCTAGGCCGTCGCCTACTCTGGGCGTCAGGCGGCAAACCTCGAGTTCACTTCACTAGAGCGCGTTTGTCATGCATACAATTGCCGTATTCGATTGGGACTATACGTTGAGTACAAAACGCAACGATAAATTCCGAGCGTTAACTTCGTTGAGCAGAGCACGAAATTCCCAATCGAATACGGCCGATGATTTCCGATGAATTCTGGAATTTCCCGTTATACTGGCCCTCTATGTCAGATTGTATGGAATAGTTTCATGTGAAGACGTCTGAGACGTAACATCGGAACATTCCGATTGTATACAGTAACAATGATTTCTAAATTTTATATGTTGAACAAAACTAGACGGGAAATGTCAACAAGTATGTAGAATGGCGGCCTTTTTGAAAAATAAAAAATAAAAAATAAAAAAGGCCGCTTCCTCAATTAAAAAAAAAAGCCGGACGTGAAACATGTTTTTTTTTTTACTTGGCCTAATCTTGAATGCAGAAATGCACTCTTCACAGACCTCAATCAACAATATGATTTTTTTTCTTCCTAAATCAATCATATTATGTGGTCGTATAATGATCTAGAGAGTAGAACGGAAGTAAGGCAAAGTCAAGCAGTTTCTGAAAAAATTATTTTGTCTAGGCTGTACACCTATCATACCTACTAGGGACTCGTATCAGTTTCTAGGCACCTAACACACATTCTTCCTTCCTAAAGCCAAAGGGTAGGCCGATGGCCTAGCTAGGCGTTAGTATAGTAGCATTGCTAGGGAGGGCCATACATACGTTGGTTTAAAGGAAATTAGTCGAAAGAAACTCATTATTTTACACTATTTATGCAATTGGCATACACGTTTATTATTTACTTACCGAGACAAACAAATAATGCAGATTTATTATTAGACCCTGCCATTCTCTCAATTTTAAGATCACACTCCTCTCTCTCCAGTGCAAACAAACGACCGTGCTGCCCGTGCTCGACCGTGCTCACAAAGAGTTGCGACATTGAGAATTTAGTGGTTATTTTGTGTCAAACGCGATGCGCGTTCTGTGTCTAACGTGATATGCGTTCCTGTGTATAATATTGTATAATACAGTTAGCTGCCTCCTGTATAGTTAATTAAATTAATTCCATTTAATCTTTTTAGCAGTTGGATTTCATGTAACTATATTTATAGATTATTTTTTATGATTTCACTACTTAATATCCAATTTCATATTATAAATACTGTAATAATTTACTATTTTTAAGCAGTTCTTTAATCGCCGCCGATAGACCGAAGAGCCCTCGATGGCAAGCATTCTTCAATTAGGCAATCCTGCCATATAGACCCTTAAGTAGCTCCTGTTATTTTTGCAAATAAATGATATGTGACGATCAGAAAAAATTAATTAAATATGTATATCAAAATGTAATTAAAATCCGTATATAGGGTATATACCAGGCACCCTAGGAGGAAATTTCTTTGTTTTTATATAATGTTGTAGAACTATTTTTTCTAAGACATAAAAAAGCAAATTAGTTAGTGAGATACAAATTTTTTAATATTTTAAAGCTGTAAGGAAAAGGTCCGTGCCTCCCTCTTTCCCACATTTTTAAATAATCAAAAATCTGTATCTTATCAGCCGCTTTCGAGTGTTTTTTTGTGTCTTAGAAAAATCAGTTCTACAACACTACAAAAATAATTTTCCTCTGAAGCATAGCTTTAAATTTGAATATAATTTTCTTTTTTCTCCATTTCTTTTTAATAATAATAATAATAATAATAATAATAATAATAATAATAATAATAGTAATAATAATAATAATAAATAAATAAATAAATAAATACCTGTAAGTAAAAACTAGGCTGTGTTCGAGCTTTCTTAACGTGACATAGTGATACCTACTGGCACGGACTTCTGTGAGACAATTGATAATAAAGCAGGGGCGGATCTGGGTTCAATTTTCATTGGGGGCGGGGGGTCAGAATGTTTCCAAACCCACAAAATGAAGGGGGTGTCCGGGAAAATTTTGATTCCTAGATGGCGGGAAATGAGTTTTCCTGACTTCCGCGGTGTCTTTTAATACGTTTGCTTTTAATTCCTTCAAAATTCAACGTTTTCCCCTCTTGAAAACGGTTAGGTAAATTTTCTCATTCTTATTCCAGTAAATAGGCATGGAATGTCAAAATTTCAAAACAAATCTGTATCTGGGCTATTGACAACAATGCGACTTTTTGACTTTGCTGCACACACACTGTGCAGTATCATCCTTGTGTCAGCTTCCTCATGATTGCAAAATAGATTTGGCACAGGAGCACCTCTACTGCAACGTCGTTAACATGACATTCATTGCAATGCGCCACGAAAACATGGACATCAGAAAGAATCTCCCTTTTACACATTCTCCATCTTACAAAAAATAAGTTGACAAGTCATCGTAATCATCATCATCATCATCGTTGTTAAAAACATGAACCTTTAATATTGTTACTATATAATATATATTTATATGTATTATATTATTATTGTATAGGCCGAATATTTTTTAAGAACATATACCATTTTTTGCATAAAATTACATCTATTACCACCCTTTTTATTATCAATATAATAATAATAATAATGGATTTAGGATTTCTCTTGAGTGTCAAAGATCATTTTGTTTGCAGCTCCACCCTAATTACTGATTTTTCATTAAAAAAAATTCAATCAGTAAGATTCCCAGGTAAAAATAGCATGTTAAATTTAACATAATACTAGAACGAACAACACCATACATTAGACAGCACCATTAGGAATGTATACACATTCTCAGCCCCTGAAGGACCTGCATTTAAGTTGTCACATATATGCTGTAGTGATAGTATAGCAGAGTTCAAAACAAATTGTTAAAAACCAACAGAAAAATAACAAACCTTTTTGACGTCATGGTTGTTGATATAAATGTCTAAATATAGAAGTTTAGAACTATCGAGCAATTAATAGAGCCGTCTCTTAAGCATTTAATCTCTTGACTCATTGTCATTGAAAGCCTCCATACGGCGGGTAGCTTGCAGTTGGCTGCGTCATCGAGTTTAGATTAACATTTAACTTTGCCAAAACACGTTGACGGAGTAACGATTTAATAAATATATTTAAAATGAATTCTAATTTTTCCACAGGCTTAAACGCGATTTCATACGTCAGTTTCAATTTTGGAATTACATCATAATCGCCGTGATCCAATTATATATATATA